ATATATATATATATATATATATATAAACACACACACACACACACACACACACACACACTGCATATACACGAAGTGAAGCAACACAAAGACTGTGTGCTTTAATCTATCAAGCATGGAAAAACTGAAAAATGCAGAACTGAGCATTTATTTTGGGCACGTTTGATACATGAACTTCAGTCAACCAAGCGAAACAGGAAGGTTTCCAACCCTGCTGATGCTCCTTTCCAACACTGCTTTCACAATTTTGACAGTCCTGGCTGCTTTGTTAAACTTAAACAGAAGCAAGAAAAGCATTGTCTGGATTTTACATGTGTGAATGTAAAATCTGTGAAACCTTCTACCAGACTTGGGTTGTTGTGTCCTTGATGATGTAAACCTGAACTCATCACTTTTGATGTCTCACAGGCTTGAAGTTACTGTGGTTATTCACACCCAACTGTATAGATCTATGCTGAGGCAAGACTGCTAATCCAAGGAAGGCAGAACTCAAAAATGATCTCTCTCTACCAGCCTCTTCCATCATCTTTCTGTCTGACGTTCTGTCCTCTGATTGGATCCCTCAGAAGCAGCAAACTGCACATCCCAAAGGCACAGAGTGTGCTTTGGAAACATTACGGTGTTGGGTTTATGTGTAGTCCCCCTAATGAAAAATAAAGCAGGCTGCCTCTGAATCCAAATATAGCCCAGGCCGTTCCTAACCAGTCACAACTGTAGCTCATGAGTCATTCTAATGAAATGTATCAGAACAACGCTATGAAAACAAGAAGAGGGACCAGTGAATGCTCTGTGCTCTGCCATAAATGGACCTGCTCCCTCCTAACTCACAATACTGCTGGGACTGAAGAATTGGGTAATTCACAGAGTAATTTCAACTTTTTCCATTTCTTTTTTGTATACTGTTTCATTTCAAACCAACAATGAGGTAAAGTTTGTGTGTAAAATTTGTACATTTCATTACTAGACTTGTGGAGGGACACATTTCTTAAAACAGGGAACTACCCAATTTAGAAAAGACGCAAGGTTACACAAATTTGCGTTGAACCTTGAAATTGAGCTTCCTGTTTTCACACTCACCCCGCCTATCCCTCCCACTGTCACACTAGATAAAGATCAATATGCTGTGAGAGGTGGAAAGTAATGTGAAAATATGTGGTTTTATTAATTGAATTCTAAAACAGATTTAAAAATGTAATTGAATAAGCCATGTTTAAAATTAGAATATAGTCAAAATACAGACTGTACCTCACCATAATTTCATATGAACAGCCTATATAGTTAGGCTAATAAACTATACTACTTCATGGACAAATTGTTCTCATAATTTTCTTAGATTAACTAAATATTTATGTCAGTCACTGGGGTTTTTGCATCATTTCCTGTTGAGCTGATTACCAATTGAATCACAGTAAGTGTGCTTTTTGCTTTATTCTATACTTTCATTTAACAGAATTTGTGCTTAAAGACACATGGAAGAAAACTGAACAACATCATAAAATAAACAAACAAACATAAATTAAGCATATCATTTCTTAAACAACCACTTAATTTTGACTAATATTTCAATAGTTTTAATAACAGTAATCTCCTTTTTTGAGACATTGGTAGTGAGCACTACAATTTGCGCAGGTCATATTATTTTGATTTAATGTAATATTAAGATAATGCTTAAGGAATAGTCATCTTCTGTGGAACATAAAAGAAAATACTTTGAAGGAAGTTGGCTAACTAAAGAGTTTTGGTTTTCCCATATAGACCAAAAATACAACAGAAGTTCACACTTTTGATCAGCATTCTTCAAGATATCTTTTTTTTTTTTTTTGTTCAGCAAGTTTTGTTATGATTTGAGGATGAGTAAATGACGACAGAATTTTCATTTTTGAGTGAACTATCCCTCTAACATTATCTAATGCATCTCAGATTTTTATTTAGATTATGACAGCAGTCTTGTTAACACAAGTACATCATGTTGTTAGGTAGTCTAAACACATGACCGTATGTTAGTATTGTTGACATTGTTCAGAATATCAACCTAAATTACTCAAAATAAATAAGCAAGCAAGTAGCTTGAGAAAGAAAGAGATTATTACAGAGATCATGGCTGAATGTGTGAACGTTTACTTCTGGTGTTGAGAACATGACAAAAAATTAACAACCTTCATTTTTCTTTAAAGGAAGAAACATTTAAAGGGTTTTTAAGATGGTCATATGAAGGTCAGTCTAATTTTTAAAGTTCTGTTAAAAGTTACAATTCTTTTAAAGTACTGAATCTTTTTCAGCTGACAACATAAAGCTTGAAATAGAATGATTCATTTGAAGTAACACAAGGATTGGGTTCAGCCTGGACCATATTGAGGCAAAAAGACAAAACAGTTGCAAAATAATGCCTCCCATAAAAGGCCTCAGGCCTGTACTTATTATTGGGTTTCCTGCCCTAAAGGGCACTTCTGTGGTTTTTGCACCGTATGTTGAGACATCTTGATAAAAGGACAAAAGCTTGGGCATGCTCACTACAAGAAGGTTGATGTTGCCTGAGAGCATACATTCCAACATGGCTGAGGAACTCAGAAAAGCCTGCTTTTGTACTAAAAGCTTCTTTTCTGCAAAGCTATATTTCATACATCAAGCTGAAGTGTGCCCTAGAAATCCATGCAATATCTTTTCAACAATTGTCACGCATGTCACAAAATGAGGTGCAATATAAACGTATTGTCTTTCTGTTTGAATGACAACATGCGCCTCCAGTATGACACTTTTCTACAAGCAAACAATCAAAACAATGACTAATTCATCACACACAGATGAAGAACGCTCATATTTTTCAGTTAGTTTACCACGCATATTGCAGCCTAAATGAGCCGTGAAGTCAGGATGGATGAAAATGATCTTATTCTGAAATAAATCTTTAAAGACAGGTAGTATTATAATATAAAAAAAAAACAAGCTTCAATGCTTTGCCTGATTGATTAACCAACATAAAAACATTTTATACTTTACAGGCTAATTAAAAAAAGTGTACTGTAAATGATAGCATGCTTAAAAAGCATATAATCTCATTTGTTTCATTTCTCAGTTCCACAGACCTGTCAAGATCAGGAAAAGAAACTACAAATAAAGACACATCACTTCTTTTTATTCTTCTGTATAGAAATCACATGCAGTTGCATGCATCTTGCTTACCTTCAGATGTACATCGATTCTGGCGTTCCTCCACAACATGTGCATGTGACACCGAACGTACCTCCACTGGTTCTGTTGAAGCTGTTCCAGAGATTTGAACTTGGTTTCTGATTTAACCCCCGTGTGTGTGTTGCCATTAGTAAGTCCTACTACAGGCAGCCGCCCAGCCTCTTATATTCTAGTGTCAGAAGTGATTAGTTCGCAGCGTTCAGTGACTTGTGAAGATTTGGGGGGTGGTGTGTCTGCCTACTTACATCAGACTCACCCTGGGCACGGTGCATGCAGGGACCTACAGCTCTGATAACAGAGCAAAGAGGTTCTGAGGCCAGGGGGTTCAACCATTTCAAGAGCCCTTTTGGTTGGTCATCAGGCCATAGAGTGCATTATCGGGCTAAGTGTGCTCTGTAAATACCTGCGGCGTGGCTCTCATCTCTACCTCATACCACCTAGAAAGCATTGAAAAGGCAAGCATTAATGTTACTTTAATACAAGCCCTAGCAAGTCAGTTCAAGACTGCTGTCCACCCGCCTCAAGTAGATAAAAGGGGTTATTACAGCTGTAATGGTGAATAGAATCACCTACAAAGAGGATTTCCTATGTATTTTTAGATTATAAATTAACACCTAGCAAGAGTGTGTCTATGGTTGTGAAATGTATGACGCACAAATGGGAGAGTAGCACAAATAAACGGCATATAAAATGTTGTCACCAAGCAACCACCACTGACTCCATTTCCTTTTTGTACTCATATGAACATTTCCTACAGAAGCGCATGCATCCCTTAACATTTTTTATTCAGTGGTCTTGCATATTTAGACCAACAGCTCGATGGTGTGTTATTTGCATAAAACAGTTCAATAGTGATGTTACATTTTTATTTTCTCCAAAAAATAATAAATAAATAAATAAAACAACTGGTTCAAAAGAATTGAAACTACTTTTTTTTTTTACAATTACGTAATTTCCATATAAAGGCAAATGTTTACCGCTACAACGTAGGCCATGTTGATGAACTTCAGGTAATGAATCTAGGATAGCCTACATTTGGGAGGTAAGCCTCTGGGCTCCTTTGTAAAGCTTTGTTTATTTTTTTAAATTTTTTTTTTTGATTTAGTCATTTAGCAGACGCTTTTATCCAAAGCGACTATTTGTTTAATATTTATTATTTTATTATTTATTATTATACTATTTGCGAATATTTGTTTAATATTCACTACAATTCAATCAACCAGAAGTTAATATTGAGTAACTTACATTTTAAACGTAATATTGTCAGTTACTTTGTGTATTTTTGCTCCGCCAACAAAACACAATTCCAAACGAAAACAAAGCAGAAACGGTTCCTGGTCTGGGAGCGGCACACTTGTTCATGATGAATCAGTGATTTGAACGAATTGTTTGAGCGAAGTCTTTGACTCACTCATGAACTTACCAACCGGTATATCGATGTGACTTGCAAAAAGAAAAAATTCTGAAATATCCACACCAGAAATGCACAGACTAAAACGGTTTGACGCGCAAAACACAGGCAATCGGCACAAACAGTTAAACGTCCAAGTGCGGATGAAATACCATTCTGTCAATAAAATTTGAAGTGCGTGGAACTGTGGTATAAATCCCTTTTAATATTTTATCTGTTTGTCAGTATATTCAAGGGTTGAGTATGTTAACAAAACTGTTAATCATTTAGGCTTGTATTTAGGTACACAGCCTGCAATGGTGAAATAAGTAAATAAATAATTTCACAGTCAAACTCAGATTTTTTTATTTTGAATATTTTATTAATGTGTAGAAAATGTATTAAAAAAGGAACTATACAGCACATTTTAAGTTAAACTAGAGCTAATTTGATCTGTTACAATAATATCCAAGGTTATCTGACAATGTGGTTAGCAAGTTAGGGACAAATGTCTCAAAGACCGTTCTTTTGCACACATTACCTGCTTCATTAGTGTTCATGCTAAACACATTTTTCCAAGAGCCATAGAGGTAAAGGATAAGCAGTTAAACATTTTTACTGCTCTACAACATCCTCTTAGGTACAAAATGTAGGGGATTTTTACAATATCGTAATGAAATTAAATAAATGTATATGAAAGTGGTAAAATGACCTAGTTGACCTAGTTCCAAGTGTTGTGTATAACATGTTTTTAAGTGTGCTCCCGTGGTGAATGTTGAACCAAGTGGTTTGGTGGATGGGAGGCATGTCAGAATGAAGGGGACTTGAAGTGCCCCCACCATATGCTGAGTCAATGAATAATGGAGGAAAATCTGCTGTCACTCTCTGTTGAGAAGCTGTCTCAATCAGTCAACACAACTCTAAAGTCTCTATTCCTCTTTCAGAAATAACTACAGAAGGGCTGCTTCACTGTGAACCCACAAACAATTAGTTTTCTGACGGAAACAGTTAGAAAACAGAAGAAGGAACACATATTTCCACCCATGTTCTCTGCAGAACAGTAACTGGAGAAAACGATGCCTTCTGGTGCAAGCAAAATGTAAGTATTTTTCAGTGTTAAATGCAATTAGCTTGAGCTGATTAAGAATTTACTTGGTTTCTAGTTCCCATCCCAGCTGTTGCTACACTCTCTAATCTTACCCCTCAAAAAGGAAAGAAAAAATAGAAGCAAAGGAAAAGCGTAGAAACTCTTTGAAGACATCATAGCGCCGTCTCTCAGAAGAGGCTCATTAGGAGATTTGAGACTATGCGAAACAGGTGTTGTGAGAAGCAGAACTCCGGAGAACTGAACAATATTTGTCTACAGCCTTACAGAAATGGGTAGAGCATACAGATAAATTAAAGAAGAAAAATCTAAATCATCTTGCTGAGGTAAAAGTTACATTGTATGAGGAAGGTTTAGAAAAACATGACATGGTCGTACTCCTTCACAAACCTTTCAATCACTGTACAAAACACACTGAGGCCATGTTAAACTACAGAATGAAATAATATATTCTTGTCAGGTACAAAATGGTAAAAGAATTAAGGCTATGTTCTAAGTTGCACTAAGAGTTGCATTACTTTTGTGACCTATTGTGTGTACGTCAGGTCTTGAAAGCTCAAGCTTGACTGCTTGTCAGCAGGTGTCTGTCCAACTCCATTTTACAATGACTATGCATGAAACGAACAGAAGATCTATGAAAAGAACCCTTCAGATGGTCTTCACTCTGCATGTACTACTGCAGTGCAAAACACATACTGCAATTCTCCTGCACTCACCTATGAATTGCTATTAATCTAGAGGATTTACCAAGACACAGAAGGACACCATTATTCTTTCAAGTCTACAGGAACAAAACACTCAAAGCATTGAATGTGAAACATAACTATGTAAAAATTCTCCATATGAGTTTTTCATATGTACATATCAGTGCTCTAAGGACAGTTTATACCTTAAAACAAACAAACAAACATACAAAAAAAAAAAACCTATGATGTAAAAGTATTACTTATCAGCCATGCACAAAATTGTAAAATTTAAAATAAAAATTTAATCTAATATGGGGCAAATTATATGAGTGATAAGCATGTGATCATTCTTTTTTCAATCTGTTTTGACCGCAGATACTGAATAATTCTTTGGTTTCTGAGGTTTCAATAATAATAATAACATTTTGTGTTTTGTATCATCTTTTCCAGAAAACCCAACATTTGCAACTTCAACCTCGACTGCAACGCTTTAACAGTACAATGGCCAACTGTTAATGTTTAAGTTTAAATATGAGATGAAAATGCAGTTACAATAAAGCAAATATTGTTTGCTTCAGGGTGCAGTAAATGCAAAATACAACACTGTAATTGGTCACATGAACATAAATCAAAACTGACCAAAAATCATTCAGTTACTTTTTTAAAGGTATTTCTTATTTCTCATCATTTATAAAAATAGAAGCATCTCATTTTAACGGGCATTCATTTTCTTCTAAAATCTTTTATCTCAAAGGGAGAAATGATCTTTTCTTCACTTAATAATGAGGTTCTTTCCACAGGCCTCATACGGTAAACGTGCTAAAAATACCAAACCCTACCTAGTCTTCAATCTCCCGGAGCTGAACAAATAGCATTACACATATAGAAAGTCACCGAACCTCAAGGTTTACAATTTACATCAGACATTCGTCAAAGGGATTTTGTCATTCGAAGATTTAAATAAGTTACATCGCTCCTTCTGTCCTCCTCGCCCTATTTAAAAATAGAAACAGCTAGTAGGATGGTAGATTAATGGGTGGACCTCCTCCGCTTGCCACTGATGCTGCGGTAGTTGAAAGGTCTCATCTTCATCTCCACAAAAGGGATGGAAAACTCATGGCCTTTCCAGTGATACCAGTTTATACCCTGCCGAAGTCAAACACATAATGTCAATACACAAACAGTTATTTATCTATGATCGCATTAGCATTCATACATGAAGTGTGGTTCTAGCACAGATACATTGCCATATGTGACCCTGGACCACAAAAAAAATTTTTTAAATTGAGATTTATACATCATCTGAAAGCTGATAAATAAGCTTTCCATTGATGTATGGTTTGTTAGGATAGGACAATATTTGGCCCGAGATACAACTATTTGAAAATCTGAAATCTGAGGGTGCAAAAAAAAATATATATATATTGAGAAAATCGCCTCTAAAGTTGTCCAAATTAAGACCTTAGCAACGCATATTACTAATCAAAAATTACGTTTTGATATATAGGGAATTTACTAAATATCTTCATGGAACTTAATATCCTAATGATTTTGGCATAAAAGAAAAATCGATCATTTTGACCCATACGATATTGTTGGCTATTTCTACAAATATACCCGTGCTACTTATGACTGGTTTTGTGCTCCAGGGTCACATATGTATAGATAGACACAGATACATGCAATATCAAAATATGAATTTGTTTTAGCATCGTAAATGTAAACCCTTTTATGTTCATAGAAACTTAAGAAGAAATGTTTACGAATTCTATGTGGTTCAAAGAACACCGAATTTGAGGGATAGACAGATATTAAAATCCTAGCCAATACTGATAAGCCAATAATTATTTGCATTTTATATATATTTGCGATAACTCATAAAAATTCAACACTAAAAAAAATAAAAACTTGTTTTAAACAGTTTATTAATAATTTTGAGATTTAACAATGTTATTAAATTATTAAAGATTAACTTTAAGTGACAGTTAGATGAAAGCAAATGTAATCTAAATGTAAAAATATTGAAAACAAGCATGAACATTTACATTTAAAATATTGACCAGTACTTGTAAAACACTAAAAAATATCTAAAATCAAGCAACTGATATACAGGATTGTGCACCCTCACTGAATCCATAGGTTAATTTTATGGAATTTTTCAATAAATTAAATTAAGTCATGGTAGGCTACAATGAAACAATTTTGTTAATTTCAGTTTTGCCAGAAAAGTTTTAAAGGGGTCATGACATGCATTTGCCTTGATCTTTTGGCATATAAGAGGTCTTTGTACCATTAAAACATCCTGCATGTTTCATAGTTTAAACATCCTCCTGATTATAAACAAAGCATTTATTTAATCAAGCTCCAAAAACGGCTCGTTTGGATCTTGAGGTGCAAGATGACGTCACCTGGGCACAGTCGTTTGCATAAACACTGCCTCCAGAGTAAGACATCGACAAATAGTCATCTTCTTACCATAGGCCCTGCCCACTGGCGTTCAGTCACTTAAAGGCGTGACACTTGATTATGCTGAATGAGAGTGTTGTCGCATTTGTCTTGTCTACAGTGGATACAGTATACAGATGCTCGTTCACTTTCTGACACAGTCCACACACTTGAGTCAGTCAATAGGACAAATGGAGTGAAAGAACAAGTGGGATAGGGGTAAGTAGATAGTTTATTTTTAATGGCATCCTGGATCATGTCACAGGATTGATCAAAGCATTTTGTTTTGTAAATGAGGCACAGTGTCATGGAGAGTTCACAAAGAAACATTTTTTGAAAGATGAAACGGTACTAGATCTGACTGCAGCTACATCACAAACCGTAGGTGAATTATATCATAATGCTTTATCTGGAAATTACGGTTTTATTTTGATCATGTTGTCAAAACACTCACATGCAATAGTGAGGGGGCGGGGCATTGATACTGTTTCCAATGCAATGACGTTAGCCAATCATAAGTGGCCGATTACTGGCAAGCCATAAATGACATGCCCCTTAAAAACAGGTCATTTTTGACAGAGGGTCAGAATGAGGGTTTTAAATAATAATTTTCCCTCATATTTATTTTGTTTTTTTTTGTGTGCGCAAACTTTATTAACATTATAAGTAAACCTCAAGGAACACATTAAAATAATAAAACAATCCATGTCATGACCTCTTTAAAGATCTGTACAATTTATAGATAAGCTATACATAAGTAAAATATGTTTAGATGCTGTCAGTATGTTGATAATGTACATTTCAGTATCTATCAAAATGCATAAAATCATGTGTAATATTTATGTACAAAATTGCTCAGCAATTCAGTGTTACTGCCACTGAAATACTTCACAAAGAACACCTCTCAAAATAATATTTTTCTTGTAAAAACCTTTATTAGTTTTCAGCGTGTTAACCTCTGCTTCTATGAAAAAATACCACTGACACCAATGGGAAATATGACCTTATCGGTTATAATAAGCTACACCAACCCCCTAAAGCTTGTGAGAAAGCTGAAATGAAAGCAGACAGTGAGACAACAGGACATGACACAATGCAATTGAGCAAGGACGGATCTAGAATATTTTTACCATCGGCCTGTGACTCTCACATATTGAGCTTTACTTGCTTTCAGTTAACTTCAAAATGCTTCTGCATGTTTCCTGTCTTTTTAACGCCTGCCCTTGAAAACAAAACCACAAACAATGAGTCACAAAGCACAAAGGCCCTGTAGGTGTAAGATCAATTCGCTGAATTAAGATCGTAATCAGCGTAATAAGTTCCTATGAGATTTTTATTGTGTAGGCAGGTTTTGCCTTCTTGTAATTCCATACTGTATAGGCGGTGGAAACGACCCTTGTATTAAGTTGTTAAGGCCACATTAGGAAATTTTCAGGGGCAAAAAAAGGTCAATTGTCATCAAGAGTCTAGTGATCTTTGAACCACCGCTCAAACAGAAGCCACTTTCAAACCAAGCAGCTTTGTGCTGGTCAAACGATGGCGAATCTTGAACTTGTTAGTTAAATCTGCATGGGAAACTTTTGCCCTCACTTGATATTCCCAATCTCTAAGATTCCTATTGAAACAACTGGATTTCGCTCGCCACGATTTGCAGAACATCAATAAGTGTGACTGAACCAGACATTTCAGTCCAGTGTTTAAGACTACCTGGCTTACCTGACTATGTCTGGACTCTCCGTATTTGCCGTTAAGGTTGGCCCGATGACAGTTTTTGTACCACCAGGCTCCTTTGTAGGACAGTGCACAGTTAGTGACAGCGATATCATTGTCCTTGTCCTTGGTAGAGAAAGGTCTGCTCTGGTGGTAGCTTAGAGAGTCACCTGAAGTAAAAAGAGAACATAATTACAACTAATAGGCTTAAATATCCAAAACCACTCTGAAGAGATCATCTCTGGGGTGTTTTAAACGATTGAATGAATCAAAAACAAGATATTTCCTTTCAGTGTATGTAAAATGAATGCCCAAATGTTCTCCAGCCGCACCTGCAGTGCCATTATACTCTCCTATCCGCAGTTTGTAGAGGCTCTTGGAATCTCCAATGGAAAACCTGTCATAGTTGGCATATACAGACTCCTGGACGTCTTTCATGTCAATGCGGAGCTCATAACGACCTTGAGCTGCAATCTTCTGAATGTTGTCCAAGCCTGCATGGAAAAATGGAAAAAAACATGTTCTACCATCCATACCATCTCATCCCTGTGTTCCAGCCCCTTAACATGTGAAAATGTTGCCTTCAAATACTGTATGGTTCTCACTGATAAGAGCCTATAATTTAATATAAAAGCAGTGCTCCTGTTTGGTGGTCCATCTCACTTTCTCCGACTCTTATATGTTGTGAAGATAAGGAGCAAAAGACTGCAGATAAACAGTCTGTTTATTGAAGATAATCAAATTTTCTGACTGTGCAGTGGAGAAACATCCTGTCTGACTAAAGACACAATCACTTTTTGATAGCGTAGATGTCTCCTGATAATAGAACTCCATCTATTTCGTGAGTATCTACAAGGACGTGCAGTAACTCTGAACTGTAACTAAGCCCTGAATCTCACCTCAGGATTTAATGCCACAGAATGAACCTAGGAAGCAGATAGGTGATGAACTGTAACAGTGAGGGGAAGAGATCTGAATTACCAGATGTGGCCAAAGAGCATCTTTAAAGGCGGCCATTGTTGTAATGAGATTAGTAGAAAAAAAAAACTCATCAAATAGCAGCATGCACACCATTTTTTTTTACTGACCCAATCAGTACAATCTCAGCAAGAGACTGTGTTTTTACTTGATTAAAATCAGCCAGGCATCACACTGCATGATATCTAAAATATTACAGAATCGTATCACTTTTATCACCATTTTGGGCTAAGTACTGCACTTTAATAGCACACTGCACATTTTATTATCCCACTAGCATTGTTTTAAACATTAACCTAACAACATTTTGTTAGATTTATGCTTAAAACAGGAATAAACTATCTTCCAAAGGAGTAATAATAAAAAAAATAATTATTAAAAAAAAAAAAAAAGTCATGGTATATGATAGATAATAAAAAACAAGAAAAATAATGAGCAAAACCAAAACAACATGCACAAAAAATAAAATAAAATAAATAATAATAAAATAAAATAAATAAATAAATTAAATAATTAAGTAAAAATAAAAATAAAACCAACCAAACAAATATATTTGTTCAAGATATTCTCTGAAAATTATTTTCCTTTTCTTACACAATTTTGCTTCTTAGGATCATGTACTGCATCAGTGCTTAGATATTTTTTTTTACTGTAAAACAAGATAAAAGTAATGAGTAAGATTTTTTTTTTTCGGTGCAATGGGGAATACAATTAACCATTTTAAACCATTTAATCACACTGGTTAATAAAGAACAGGCTATATGCTTCTTATTATAGCATAATTTCCAAGCAGAAACTGAAAATATAGTTCTGTGTCCTCTGAGGAAAAATACTATAATTTTCAAATGCGTTGCAAAGGAAATACTATATTTTTTATCAGTCCAGGAAGGCTGCACTGAAATCTCCTGGAACCGACTAGTGGAGTCTATTACTTTTCAGAATGACTTTGCTCCTTCTTCAATAACACTATATCTCTATAGTACTGTCCTATCTGCATGGTTGATCTTCAGCCCCATTACCAAAATATACCATTCAGGAGTAACCGAGTGTCATGACCAGGTGAGGAATTATAAGGAAACCCAGGGACCATGCAGAAGTGAGAAGCACCATGGGAAAGCAGACGTGCTCTCTACTTTGAATGCTTGAATGGTCTGCCAGGTTGTGTGGTTGATGAACAGACAGTGTTTGTGGGGGATGTAGGTCAGTAAAAGTTTTGCAGATAAATAAGAAATGTATGAAGTAAATGATACTATGCAAAAAAAAAAAAAAAAAAAGATTCTTAATAATTCAATGTACCAGGGGCGACTTACTTTTGAAAGTTCAGGGGCCATTTATGTAGACTATGTGTGATATGTGGTATTTTTATTTGAATCTGGTATTAGTATACACTACCATTCAAACGTTTGGGGTCAGAAAGGTTTTTTAATGGTTTTGAAAGAAGTCTCTTATATTCACCAAGGTTGAATTTGATCAGCCTTTAGTATCTTACATGATCCTTCAGAAATCATTCTAAAATGCTGATTTGGTGCTCAAGAAACATTTCTTATTATTGTCAATGTTGAAAATGGATGTGTTGCTTAATATTTTTGTGTAAGCCATACTTTTTTTTATTTGATTAACAAAATACATTTTTTAAGTATAAATCTTTTGTAACATTATACATGGCTTCACTGTCACTTTTGATCAATTAAATTCATCCCTGCTGAATAAAAGTATTAATTTCTTTTATATAAGTAAAAAAATAATAATAATAATAACCCCACATTTTAAATAGTAGTGTATATCAAAATATACTTATATTTTTTCAGGAAATTCAACCCACACTATTACAAAACAGCTTCACATTACATAACAGGTTGAAAAAAGCCAAAGACACAACAACAAGTTGTGATTCCATAAAGGCCATAAACAACCTACAGTTAGACCATGTTTCCACCAAACACAAGCGGAGCATCACACTGTGGTAAAACTAAAAATATAACAAGCTCTCATCTGTGACACAGTTTATGCAGAATAGATTATTTCCAGCTCTGGTTTTTTGAAATCACATTGTGGTATTACAGAGAATTTCTACTGGCCACACAGCCCTTCTAATTATTACTACGGTAAGAAGGCATACTAGTGATTATTGTAGGTGCATTTACCACAACTTCTACTCCAACATAACAACCATTAAGTGATCTCTTTATTGTAGTTATGAATGAGTATATAGTATGTGAAGAAGACGCTCTTCAATGCAGAACTGCCACAGACAGTATTTGCTTTCTGCTCATGAGCTGACATTTTTCAAATGAGCTCCTTCCACACTAAATATAGTTATATTTATTATCCAGGCATAAATGTCTGCAGAGGCATCATTTGTAGTATTTACTTTTTATCTGTAATTGAGACAATGCTTTGAAATCCATGGCGAGCACAAATGCTATTTTTTCCTTGATTTTTTATTAATATAATTATAGCTTTCTAATAAGATTTATGCAGCAGGGATAAAAAGGAAAAGGGGATCTATTGCTTTCTATCAAATTGGATTTTGATGAAAATAATTACCGGATCATTTAAATAGAATCTGAAAGCTCAGAGTCACCGTGACAGACTGAGGGGTCCCGGGAAGCACAGAACACATACAAACACAAGATACCGTATGCGGGAGGGCACACAGAGAATTTCAAAGGATGGTGATTTGATGCAGCCTCTCACAGCGCTAGAAGACTTTGTGTTATTTTCATCTTTATTCAGAGCAGCACCACGCTGTCTCTCATTTGAAAGTGTGATCCGTATAATGCAAGTAAATAGGTGAGTTATACAGTGTCCCTGAAGCAAGTTAGGGTTAAGTACTCGGCTAAAGCTAGGTGGCTTTCCAAAATGCCTATGTAATATTTACTGTAAATGAAAAAAACGTCTCATTGCTAGTCAAGATCACTCATCACTGAGTTACAGTGAGAAAGTGCTGACCAAATTTAGATCAGCCTGAAGAGACTAATGGGGCCTTAAATGACTATATTTTAATGGGTCATCACGTAGCAGCTTTTTTCCCCAGACAGCTCTAAATGCTCTGTCTATAATTCAAGCGTATTTCACGTCTTCTCACCGAGCCAGAATTCATCCTCCAGGTTGCCAAAGCCGATCTTGTAGTCACTCCACTTCCTGGAGAAATCAGTCAAACCGTTCTGACGTCGCTGGAACACCTGAAACACAATCAGCAGAGGTACAGCTGCAGCACAACACGCTACGCCAATTAAATATAATGCATTTAGGGCAATACGGAGCACATGAATGGCAATTGATCCCAACAGTGTCATTTCACTTTGGGATGATAACATCTGCAATATAGAGGCAGCTGGGTCGATTGTCATGACCAATAAAAAGCCTGTTGAAAAGACCAGAATGCACAATCGCCAGAATACGGTGTTCTTCAAATACTGGTCTCTGGTGTGAGATGCAGGCAGGGTCCAAAATTTACACTTGTTATGTGCCAAAGGCGATTATAGCTTTTTGCCAATTGGCCGCTAACTTTATAAGGAAAAGCAACATTATATGGTTTAAGTCGAGTAGTAAAATCGATAGTCTGATTTTGCTGGTGTAAGTAGCGTATGTCTACTGAAGAAACTCAAATTTTTCCTCAGTGGAAACATTTATCATGAGAAAATGCTTTTTTTTTTTTTTTTTTTTCTCCAGACCTCCATGTGGTTTCAAAGAGTGGCAGAGATTGGCTCATCTTATTTGTAATAATAAAATGTCTAAATAAAATAAATAAATGCGTAAATAAATAATTTACAAATTTTTATTAAATAGTGATAATAAAAATAATTATTATTTATAAAAATGGCGAAATAATCATTGTCATAGCTAAAATCATATAATTTTTTATATAATTAATAACTGATTTTATTAATGTAACTAATTTCAGTTTTTATATTTTACATTGCTTTTTTGGCCAGTAAGATATTTTTATGGCTGGTAAATTTTTTCAGTTCACCACCTGCCAGACAGATCTAGCAACAAGTTCATTTTGGACAGATGTAGATGCCCTGGTGTTGACACCAATTCCTCAACTAGCTTAACCATTAAAGGGATAGTTTACCCAAAAATGAAAACACACCAAATACACAAAATAATGATCTTTAAAAAAGCATCATATGACCCCTTTAATAAATGTCTTGGCTCTTACAAGCAGTGTTGCCAAGTCTGCGGTTTTCCCGCGGAATTGGGCTACTTTAACACTGTTGCCTTGGATTGTTTTTCATGTTTGCAGGTTTAAGCGACCCCAATAATGTGATATTTAGCCCCTAAATGTGAATTTTACCAGGAGAACCCTGACAAAAAAACTTGTATTTTACCGGGGGACCTCCCTCGAAACACAATTGGGCTAGTTTTGGGCTAGTTTTGAGTAGCAATTGGGCGGGTTTTGTTGTGAAAACCTGGCAACCCTACTTCCAAAGTTTATAATGGCAGGGAATGGGGTTTAAGATTTTGAAGCCTAAAAAACTGCGTCCATCCATCATAAAAATATCCAACCCCATAATATAGCCCCACACGGCTCTGGGGGGTTAATAAAGACCTTCTAAAGTGAATCGATGCATGTGTGTAAGAAAGATATCCATATTTAAAGCTTCATAGCTTCCGCTAACTCTTGTACACGAATTCACGAGAGAGTGGCATTCCAGCGGATCACATTACAGTTGATACAGTTTTAAATATGGATATTTTTCTTACACAAACGCATAAATTCACTTCAGAATACCTTTATTAATCCCTGGAGCCATGTGGAGCACTTTTTATGATGAATGGACAAATTTTTCTGGGCTTCAAAGTTTTACACCCCATTCACTGACATAATAAAGCTGTGAAGAGCCAGGACATTTTTTTTAATACAACCCCGATTGTATTCGTCTGAAAGAAGACAGTTATATACACCTACGATGGCTTGAGGATGAGTAAATCATGAGGTAATTTTCATTTTTGGGTGAACTATCCCTTTAAGCTATGGTTGGTTAACCTGAATCACCAAAAAGAGCATGCTGATCATCTAGCTAGGTTTGCTTGTGAACAGCATTGGTTATGCCAGCAATGAAAATGAGCAGCTTGTCTTTTCAACAGTGGCCAGTCCTATAATGTGGCATTGTGGGATTTTGTGCAAATCATACATTGTGCCAGACATTCAGTACAATACAGACAGACTCAGATGTGATAGTCAGATCTCTCACTCACTATCCAGCCGCCTCCGTCGGTGGTCATGTCGCAGTAAACCTGCACACCTTGGCTGAGGTCTCTGTTGATGTAGATGGTGTAAATTCCGCTCAGCGTCTCTCCGTTCAGGAGGTGTTGCGCACAGTTCTGTGGCGTGGGAAACAATCGGTTTCCTGAGGAGGAAAAGGGTTGAGAAACATCCAAAACAACAGAGCAAAAGAAAGCAAGGGGCCACTGGGAGGTTAATGAGCTGTGATTTGCATCGCTGCCATGACAATGGAGTGCGAATTTGTTGATGTTATGAAACACTATCTTTGGAAGTAGGGTCCTTGAAAAGTCACAGAAACACAAGGCAATAAATGAGGGATGCACACAGATGCCTTGAAGGTGTCGCTACTGATTTGTACTTGATGATGTTGATGGGCTAATAGTGTGAATTTGCACCTAATGAGGTGAGTGAACCCGATCTGAAGTCTACAGGAGATGTGGAAGATTTGCACCTGTTGTGAAAGATGTAGAAACAATGGCGCTGGTCTCTAATCCTCTGGCGGCTTGCAGTCTCACAGTGTATTCGGTGGTCTCCGCCAGCCCCTCGAGACGGATCCATGTGTCTTCAGCATCTAAGATCAGCTCCTAAAACGCAATCAAACACAGTCTACTGATCCGCAGGCACGCAGAGGCATTAGTACATTACCTCTGTTCAAACACTGTCGACCAAAACTAAACAAAGAACCGCTCAGCGGCAGAGCGGGTTTGTGGAAAACATACCAAGAGATAGTATAAAGAACAGCAGCTCTATGCATTGTGGGTAGCAAAGTTATTCCTCAAAAACAAACAGAAAACGGATCACAATCACTTTAGGAACTGTCTGACAAATTGTTGTGATCCCAGGCTGCTTACTGTTGGGTGCCTTTCATACAATACTGCCTTTCCTCCCTGTGTTTTTCTACAATATGACTGGCAGCTCTAAAGCCCAGGATGGGGGAGGAAGAGTCTTATCAGGCCCTGGTGCTGCTGGTGAGAGATGGCGTTTCTATTTTCGTATTCGGCTCATGACAGTTCACTTCCCCTCTTTTGTTTTTTGAAAAAAAAAAAAACTTTTATCGAACTAATCTGCCATGTGCCTTTTCAGACTTTTGACTCCGAGGATTCACCAGGGACCTCAATGGATGTTGGCACACGTGACCCAGCCTTGAGGTGTATGAAATATGAAACATTTGATTCAATATTCATTCTTTTCCAGGAAAAGTCACACATTTGTGACCCTGGACCACAAAACCAGTCTTAAGTCGCTGAGATATATTTGTAGCAATAGCCAAAAATACATTGTATGGGTCAAAATTATAGATTTTTCTTTTATGCCAAAAATCATTAGGATATTAAGTAAAGATCATGTTCCATCAAGATATCTTGTTAAAACTAAGCATTGCTAAGAACTTCATTTGGACAACTTTAAAGCCGAGTTTCTCAATATTTAGATTTTTTTTTGCACCTTCAGATTCCAGATTTTCAAATAGTTGCATCTCGGCCAAATATTGTCCTATCCTAACAAACCATACATCAACAGAAAGCTTATTTATTCAGCTTTCAGATGGTGTATAAATCTCAATTTCGAAAAATTGACCCTTATGACTGGTTTTGTGGTCCAGGGTCACATTTTAAGTAATGTTTATGTGAATTATGCAGCACAGCAGTGTTTTAATGAAGTCGCATCAAGGTTGCTCAGTATGCAGAGGATATTGAGCAGGTAATTGTTATAGGGAAGCTGCTGTCTGTAGTAGAGTGGGACTCACTTTTATGTTCTCCTCTTGATTCTTTCACAATCCTGAGTCTGAAATATGGGTTGAGGCATCACATAGTGGATGCAGACACTGTATTATTATTTTCAGCATTCTAAGTCTTCGAAAAAATCCCACATTGTCTGGTATTATCAAAACTGTCAGCATTAGATGCCAAGCTGGCTCTAATGGAAAGAGAATGCTTTTATGTCTAAGACGCACCAGCAGGGTTTATATCATCTGTGCACCACTGACACCCACTGGACGGATACAAACACTAACAGTGGGCTACTAGGTCAAAGCATTCTGTGTTGCATTGATTGTGTGTGTCTGTTTATAACAACATAAATCTAAAGAATACAATCCATAACCTTTTGTATTTCCAATTGCGTTTTCCCATCAGGCTGGTTAAATAAAGATGTCCAAAACAGATTATAGGACAGTGATCATGCATTACAAGTAATGCAATTATTTGAAACGGATACTGTATCTACTGTATCATTTCAGAGAAATTATTTCAGGAAAGTCTTTAATAGGCATATTGTATCTGGAATGACTTTGTTAAATGATTTCATTAATATTAATGAGCAACATCAAAGCATTTAATTAAATTGAGCTATTCCGATAGGAAGATCTAACAGCTTCCTTAGATGGTTGATCTCTGTGAGATGTAGAGATGGTAAAGTTATTATAAGATCAGGCTGTACATCAAGTACAGTTTAATTCTGAATTGCAATGAGCATAAAAATGTGAACAGTTGTTAAGTTTAAACCACCAATAAAATGTTTACACAACAGGCATGTATTTTTAGTTATAAAACTTCCAGCTGTATTCATTGCTCAAGGTAAAATCCATATTATGCTTGCCTTTCGACTGCCGTCTGCTGCTTTGTAGGTCAGCATGTAGTTATCGATGTCTGCGATGGGCGGCTGCCAGGATATGAGGGCGCTTCGATGGTTAATCTCACTAGCTGTCAGGTTCTGGGGCACATCCATGGCTGTTTAAACAAAGATCAAAGACACTAAAGTCCCATTACCAGGTTTTCAAGAAACTTACACTATATAGACTTAACTTTCAAATGACTGTAAACACATAGATTCAAAAACCCTATAAACGTATGGTTTACGCTAAATGTTAAAATGACTTTTTTGGTCAGATAATAATATTTACTTGTTTGCATTTGTTTATTAAGTGTATATTTTGTTTATTGTTTTTTTTTTTGGTGGCTGACAATGTATGTAATAAAAAGACACGTCAGTTTAAAACATGCATTTTCTATGTTGAAATTATGTGCAATGTTTAAGCTTACTTGCGAATGTTTCTGCCACATATGTGTATACATTATGCTCACCAAGAATGCATTTATTTGATCAAATCAGTAAAAAGAGTAATACTTTAAATGTACAATTTAAAATAACTTTTCTGTTTTATTATTTTAAAATTTAATTCCTTTGAAGTTGCATTTTCAGCAGTTATTAGTCCAGTCCTCAGTGTCACATGATCTTTCAGAAATCATTCTAATATGCTGTTTTTGTGCTCAAGAAACATTTCTTATAATTATCAATGTTGAAGACAGTTGTGCTGTTTAATTTCGAGGAAACTATGACGTGCTTTTTCAGGAACCTTTAGTGAATAGGAGTTCAGAAGAACAGCATTTATTTGAAATAGATATCCTTTGTAACAATATAAATGTTTTTATTGTCACTTTTGATCAATTTAATGTGTTTTTATTGTCACTTTTGATCAATTTAATGTGTCCTTGCTGAATGAAAGCATTAATTTCTTTAAAAATAAATAAAAACAACAACAACAACAATAATAATACTTTGGAAGCACTCGAATTCTGTTATGCTTTATTTGTTGATTTGTTTTGTTTTAGTATTTTGTCACATGGAATTTATGGCTGAGGTTCAAAACAATCTGGCTTCAGCAATCATGAGCAAAGACGGCAGGTTTCACAGGGGTCTTATTCCTAAGAAATGCTACTAAAATGAATGGGAATGCTAACAGATTATAGCTATTTATAATCTACAAGTATTTTAGACCTGCTTGGTTTAAACTGACAAACTACACTAATAGAGCATGTTTAAACTGACCATCCCCCACCTGACATTCAGCTGTTTTTTTCTTTATCAGATGCTATTGTCTGTGTATGGTGTGCATGTTTGGAGCTGTGTCAGCACACCCGCTGGAGGCATGTTAACTGGTCGCTAGCCTGAGGACAAAATAAATCACATGGTTGTGTGTAGTGTATGTTTCAGGCACAGTGACAGATCCACTTCAGAGGGAAGACAATTAGTGTGTGTTCACCGGCGTCTTGTCTCCCAACGTGATCTCTTATCAGTCAACGTGCCACTCTCCCTCCAGCAGAGCGTCAGCACACAACCTCAACACACACACACACACACACACACCAAATGTTGATGCTTCTTTTCCATGTCTTCAAAAGACATCATCTGCTGTCTATGTGCAGAAAACTAGATGTATTATTATTATTTTTTTTTTTCCCCTTCGGTGGGTTAAAAAATGCAGTTCTTCTTCTCAGATCCTACCTCTCATTCTCTGGAACTGAAAAGTATGAAATGTCTTATATATGAAGTGTTTTGTTGCACAGGCAGGCGAGACAACATTTGAATAAGAAACATGCTAAACTCTCACAGTGTTATGGAGGTGTAGAAAGTCATATCAGAACATTATTTATGCATATGAAAAGTCATGCTGGTTTGACACAGAAACATACATATGCAGTCAGACCCAGTATTATATATTGTCTATATTTTATATTACTGACAAATTTTTTTTTTTTTGTGTGTGCAGTTTTCTTAGTGGCTATGTATATAATAAAATATGTCAAACATCAGTTTTACATGTTGTTGAATTTAAATTGTATAGTAAAGACATTTATAATGTTACAAAATATTTATATTTCAAATAAATCATTTCTATAATTGTATAATCACCAAAATTCTGAGAAAAATGTATTAAGCAGCACAACTGTTTTCAACACTGTTGATAAGAAATGTTTCTTGAACATTAAATCAGCATATAAGATTGATATTAAAATAACTTTTTTTTGTGCATTTTTTTTTGCATTTTTTTTGCTAAGAATATTTCACAATATTACCCTTTTACTGTATTTTTTATATGTATATAATAAAATATGTCAAACATCAGTTTTACATGTTGTTGAATTTAAATTGTATAGTAAAGACATTTATAATGTTACAAAATATTTATATTTCAAATAAATCATTTCTATAATTGTATAATCACCAAAATTCTGAGAAAAATGTATTAAGCAGCACAACTGTTTTCAACACTGTTGATAAGAAATGTTTCTTGAACATTAAATCAGCATATAAGATTGATATTAAAATAACTTTTTTTTTTGCATTCTAAGAATATTTCACAATATTACCCTTTTACTGTATTTTTTAAATCAAATAAATGCAGCATTGGCAAGCATAAGAGACTTATTTAAAAAACAAAAACAAAAAAATCTTACAAACCCAAACTGTTACATATAAAACGCCTTATATATTCTTATATAAACTGTTATATACATTCAAAAAGTTTTAACAGACTAGGCTAAACATTCTGCCTTTGATTTCTCATACTTTAAACTGACTGAGCAGGCAAACTAACAAAGTGCACCTATCGAGAATGAAATCCAACCGAGGAGAAAAGGAGAGAGATTCTTCTGTGCATATCTGAGGAACACGGAATTGGAGCATTGCTGACATCAGGATTTTGTTACACAAACTACAAAAATAAATTCACGGCCTTGTTTCTGCTTCGCATGAATCTCATCTCTGCTAAACTAGAAGAAGATGATAGTATAATTAGAGAAGTGCTTAATCTTGCAGCTGTCTATTGAATATATAAGCTTGAGTGCTGTTTTACCGAATAGATTCACGGCTGCAGGTAATGCGTAACTATGTAGGTTAAATATCAGCACTCTTGGGAAGCTGGTTGTCCAATTAAATTTAAATACTGGAACAGTGTATAACCAGTTGTAGATAATGAAATCGGCAACTTTAACTTCTGCTAAACCAGTGTTTCACAATCCTGCACATCTAAGCACATTTTGGATGTCTGATTCAACTTATCGTCTTATTAGTACAGAGCTCCATGACCTGGAGACATTGTGAGGGTGCATCAGGTTAGTGAAACACCCTAAATGTAGGCCATCAGCAGCAGCATTGAGAAACACAGCACTAAAGTGGAAAATACTATGATTTGACAGTTATAAAAACTTGTCACTCCTTCCCAGCATTCAGAATATATCTAAGCTTCTGGGTTCATTGACTGATGCACAGTAAATAAATATCCCACTATATTAGGGCTACAGTTGATATGTTCATTGAACGGTTTTGGCTTCTAAACTACTAAACCTCTCCCAGTCTGTGCATAGCTCTTTCATCTTAAGATATTTTTAAATGTTATGTTATGTTCTATTATGCTCACCATAGCTGCATTTTTTTTAATCCAAAAAATATTTTCTTTTCTATTTTAATATACACTAGTCAACATTTTTGATACAAAAATTATTGTAATGAAACAGGTCTCAATATATTCTTTGGGTCATGCCGAGAACATCCATACCAGTTATGCCAAAATTGGCAGAACTTCCTGTCCTCAATTTTGATTCAGGTTGAAAACCTACTTTTTCGAACTCCTCCTAGACCGTTGGTCCGATTTTCAATAAATTTGACTCGGATCATCTTCAGACCATGCTGGATTTTGTGTTGATATATGAAATCGTTTTCGTTTAACGCATTAACAAATTTGCTGGAAAGATGCCAAACTGCATCTGAGGCTGTATCTCTGCAAAGCTTTGACATATTTACACCAAACTTTGTATGTGCTATTGTCACCTCACACTGACCACGCCAGATCAATTTGGTAACAGCGCCACCTATTGGTCAAGAGTAATAAACCATTCATTAACCATTAATCATGAAATTTCCAAAAATGCTAATAACTTTTGATTGCATTAGCCTATTGTAATGAAATTGTAATGAAACACACATACCAATTATGCCATAGTCAGCTGAACTTCCTGTCCACCATTTTGATTTATGTAAAAAAACTACTTTTTCGAACTCCTCCACACCAGTTGGTCCGATTTTCACCAAAATCGATTCAGAGCATCTTCAGACTATGCTGACAAAAACTTTCACCAAAGTTGTCCTAAGACCTAAAACCAAAATGCGTTCTTGTCTTAGGACAACTTTGATGAACTTTTTTGATCCACTTCAAATGTTGACTACTGTATTTTAAAATGTAATTTATTGACGGCAAAGCTGCATTTTCAGCAGTCATTACTCCAGTCTTCATTGTCACAGGATCCTTTAGAAATCATTCTTATAGAATATGCTGATTTGGTTCTCAACAGGCATTCCTTATTATTATCAATGTTGAAAACAGTACTGCATGATATCTTTGTAGAAACAATGATAAATTTGTTCCGGATTATTTGATGAACAGCATTTATTTTAAAAATAGAAATAATTTATGACATTATAAATGTATTTACTGTTACTTTTGATCCATTTTAATGTGTCCTAGCTGAATAAAAATATGAATTTCTTTCAGAAAATAAGGTACAAGAAAAAAAAAACCTAGTAAAAAAAGAAAGTACGGCAAAACAGCAGAACATTACACTCCAAACTATCTTGTCTTGATCTCTTGTATTATATTGTCAGTTTGAATGTCTCAAGTTTGGTTTAGTCTCATGACTAATGCAGTGATCTTTTGTTTGGACTCTGCTCTTGGATACTCCTCTGATTCTTTCCCTGAGCTCTACCTTTCTCAGAAACTGGGGTAAAGGC